TTCTCTATTTGAAATACTAGTTCAGAAATCACACCTTTTTGGGGTGGGGGAACATAAAAATGTCAAGGTGCAAATTTAGAGGTCATTTAGAACAACTCTTAGGCAATGTTTCTACTTGGAGGAAAGACAGCAACTTGCTGATATTATGTAGCACATTAAAGTTCTCATTTGTTACTCAATAAACCTGATGAGATAGAAGCCATGCACCATTTTGCAGATGAGAAAGGTAAGGCTCAGAAAGAGAAAGATGCTTACCAAGATTGCTCAAATCACTCAAGACCAGGACTTAAATCTAAACGCTAGAATCTTTGTCCTTTACTCCTGTCTGTAGGCTATGGCGCTTCCTGACTCCAGGCAGGCAAATTATTACGGATGAATTCCTTTCCCTATCTCTTTCAATCTCTCTTTTTAGAAACTTTTAATTAGTTCCCGACTCTCTGCCATTATTAGTATTTGTTATTATGTATTAAGAGCCATCCTTGTTCCTTTCTCCTCCTCTGTTCCCCTCCCCAAGCTTCCCACTCTGAGGCTTCTGGTTTTAATTGTTATATTTTTTCACCAGTGATCAGTGGAGCTTCTCTAATGATCTCAACTCATTTGGAGGGTTTATAGCTCCAGCACAGAACTCCAATAAAAGGAAAAGAGAAGCTTCGCTGGGATCCCCTGAGGCTTTGCTTCTGCCTAGAACAAAGTCTTTTGCTGCTCACTATCCCACCCCTACCCAAGGTTCCGTCTTGGGTGGCAAGATTTGCATCTCCTATTTGGGGGAGTTGTTCTTCTCTTCACCTTCCCATCCTTGACCCCTCCTCCTTCTCACTGCCCCAGGATATCCCTCTGAGATTTCTGCACACAGTAGGCAGGCACGTGATCACTATTGTTGAAGGATGCAATAAATAAGTGCATTAATGAGGGAAGAAGGGAGGATGAAAGGAAGATTTATGGCCCACTTAGCTTTGCCAGGGAACTTGCGAAGTTCTTAGTTGACTTTAGTGCTTATAGTTGCATGGAAGTAGTTTTATATATAAGGAGATAGGCACAGAGCACTATTAAAATCCTCTTCATGGCCAGACTTAGTGGGACTTGAAACAGCTAACATTACTGAGCATTTGCCATGAGCCAAGCACTTTACATGCATTCACTCTTTAAGCATCACCACAACCCTGTCATACACTTGCTCTTATTACCCTTATTTTGTAGCTGGAGAAACACATGGGCAAGCCAGGATTCTAACCGAGGTGGTCTAGCTCCAGAGTGTGGGTCCTTAATCTTTACTTACAAGTAGTACTGTGATATTAGGACACATCTCCCGCGGACTGAGCTTAATCATTATGCATTTAAACCTTTGAAAGGTTTTGTCCATCT